ATATATATATATATATATATATATATATATTTTTTTTTTTTTAATTATTTTAATTAGGGTGGAAAACATAAAATGCCCCCTCCCCCCAAAATAGAAAAACATTTCACATAGAAACAGCAGGTTTTTTTCCATGGAAGGGCTCTTACAAAATAATGTATGTTCTCACGCCTAGAGCCACAGTGTGATGTAGTAAACGTGGCAGATATTCGTCCCCCCGTCTAGTGCTGTCAGAAGTGGAGTAACGACCGAGGATTAGTAACCCTGGACAGGAAAGCAGCCAGCAATGCATTTCCCACGATGCTTCCTCCGGTAAAGCAGACCTCGCTGACTGCCACAAGACCAATTTGAGGCGCTGCACTGAGTGTGCATCAATCCTGAAGCTTTTGTAACTAGTGTTGCAGTTAAGAATGGTGCCTTTAATGTGGAAGACCAGTGCTTGGGATCCCTACTCCACCCTGACGAATGGGTTAGAATCTGTACCAGGTGTTAAGTAAGGGATAATGTACAGGCAGCCGGTAGTTATCGCAGAAATAAGCCCCGACAGTGTGATCAGGACCCGACGCGAAGCGGAGGCTAGCGGCTGCCTGTACATTATCCCGTTTATTACACGGCTATTTGCCACATAAGGAAAATGACATGGAAATGAATATGAATTTGAAACATTTTATTGGCATATTTGTTTTAAAATAACATTTTTACCTTTCCGCGAAACGATATAGTACCACGTGAATATGCGTTATTACTTTGGAGCGGTCATTATTTGAAAATAACGAACCTGCAAATGTCTCAACTGACCAATCAGAATCAAGCATTCCAGAGAGCCGTGTAATAAATGCTTTTATCCAAAGCCACTTAGAACAGACGGAAAGGTGACTACTTACATCTGCACCTGGGATCCGAACCCATCAACCTTCCGGTCGGTAGCACAATACTCCACTTGCTGAGCTACAGAGGGCAGGTTTGACAGCCGTAAGCAACAGTGCAGGAGAATCATATGGCTCTGATGCACAGCTATGTGTCATTCTGGTGTGTTCAGTGTGTATTAAGGCGATACGCTTTGGTGAACAAGTGCACAACTGTCAGGAGACCTTGATCCATTATTGGGAAGTTTTTAAAATGCCCTAAAGACTACATGTGTTAAGCTGCTGTTATTGCTCAAGGAAGGAAAAGAAAAAGCAGAAATTCAGACCTATGGCATTACATTTCAAAGACACAAGCGCATTTTGTAATATGTACATTCAACACATCCATTCGTTTGTGATCAGCTAACAGGAAACAGATTCATTAAAATTTATATATTTCATGTATTTAAATTGTGCAAAAGCAACTTCAAAAAGTGTCCAACATTTAACCAAATCAAATAGACCAGCAGTGTTATCACCAGGCTTTAAATGAACTTGCCACCGCCCACTATTCTGGGATGGAACCTTTTTTGCATGGAATGGGGGTGGAACTGCCAATTATGCCATATTTCACATTTTGTTCTAGACGTTAGGATTTTGTACACGCGGGAAGCTTGCGTAAACATAATTCTTCCTTTATTTATTTTCCCGTTTCATTTCTAACGTTTCTCTTTTTACAGCAGAGCAGAAAACATTCAAACCACGCGCAAAAACAGAAAAGGATCTTACCTTCATGTAAGTCTCACACAACCACAAGCCCACTGCATAAGGGTTATTTTAAACATTTCAGACAAAAATATTTGGTTGGGAGGGGACTTCACTTACTGCAACATATAGTTTGTTCTATACCGTCACAGTTCCTCCACAAGAAAACATTTCATTTTTTTTAAAACATACTATCTTCAATATAACCCAAAACTGGATTACAGATAAATCTTTCCACAACAGTAGTGTTTGCATTTGATTCTTGGAATGTACAGAACAATATTCAGTTGCAACTAAATATTTAATAGTTTCTGCAACATCAAAATAACACACATTAGGAGGTGTTTTCTGTCAAGTATGCATTCCCAACACATAAAACAAAGCACTGACATTACATATAGAAAAGAGATCTAGACTAAACATATACCGGATGTTATCCCAACGTTGTCATATAACGTTACCATATCTGTAGGGTGCTGGCACAGTATACAAGGCTGTGCATCTTAAATATTTCACATTTCTGAGAACAACAGTTAGCTGGAATTAAAAGTATCATACAGTTGTCAAATTCTGATAATTCTAATATCCCCAGGGTAGCTGAGGTCAGTCTTTGTTTTCACTTGGCAAACAATGCTTCAAAAATAAGTGTGAAACAAACAGGTTTAGTCATAGTCCATTATACTATTTTCACATTTCTTTGA